GAGAGAGAGAGAGATGAGGCGACCTGAACGGAGTAATGAGAGGAAATCTGAAATCACTTCACTTTGAAGAACCCTTGATTGAATCTTTTTTTGTCCTGGCCTCCAGAATCCAAAATGTGGACGAATTGGAACTCTTTTACTGTGCTTGAATGTGCCTCTGCGGAAAGCATAAATTTATTACATCCAAAATCAAACAAGTATTGCATCTAGATTATTTCAATCATGTTCTAGGGCTGTCTTATCTGTCTATGATATCATCTGGGATACTTGTTCTGGTAACAGATTGACAAACTGCAAGTTACTTTTCATCAATGGGAACAAACCCCTTCAAACACCGGAGAGCGTGTACATCTGACAAAAGAGCTCCTGACCAGCTGTGAAAGCATAGAATGGCAGGTACTGCTTCAAAGCAAATCCTAGATATTCATGTTATGTATATTTATGTCATGTCTTCAGAATTCTTCATCTCAAAATCTTTATGACAGTTGCCCATTGGAGTAAAATTTAACTGCAGTGAGGTGAAAGTTAACTTTTACTGGGGAATTTTTGCTTATCAGTGCCCCAAATCTTTTGATTTTATGTGCTTGTCTATAAATTCTTATTATTCATATGAAAGTGCCTAGAATTTTCTCCCACCGTGCAAGTTCTTTTTTTTTCACCTTCTGCTTACTTCACTTAAATTACGGCCAATCAAAAAGACCTTATTATCCTGACTTATAAAAATAGTTGACTTATGAATGAGCAAAAGATATTGCTTAAGACTGAACTTATTTAGCAAAACTACAAGACAGATGCCACTGGATTCTATTATTGTTTAGCAGAATTGCAATATTTATTTTCCTGGTTCTCTGTAATGTTGGAACCCTTTTGTTGAACTTGTACTCTTTTGATGGAAAGGTAGATGAATTGGACAAGGCAATTGCAGTGGCTGCAAGAGATCCTGCTTGGTATGGTCTTGATGAGGTTGAACTTGAAAAGCGTAGGAGATGGACTAGCACTGCTCATAATCAGGTAAACCTTTAAATGTTAGAACTATTTCTTTATTATCGCCTTAGTCACATCTTGGATTGGTTTAATATTTTGACTTCTGATGTAGACAAACTCTTGTCTTGTGCCAAAATTATGTTGAGACGTGCATAATCAGAAGCACAAATATCACATGTTCTTTCCTCCATAATTTTGATTATGTAGTAGTTATTGTAGGTCGGGAGGACTAGGAGAACTGTAGAAACTGGAAAGGTGAAGCAGAATTTATTCAGCTCAGGTGCAAATGGTGTGCGCAAAGAGCTGATGAAGCTTCCAAATGATCATGCTTCCCAGGCAGGCAGATCGAACCACTACGTTAACCAACATAATGATGATTTTATATCTTCAGAATCAGATCAGCAGCTGCTCCTTGTAAAGTAATGTTTTATGTATTTTATAGTTCTTTTATTGATTATAGTAGTCAAGATGATATAAGGCTGTTATGATGCATCTGCTGCAGCAGATTTGGAATTTTACTTGTCCATCAATTTTCTATGGGTCCATTCACGCAGGGTAAATAACCAATTATATGTCTCAATTTTCTGGTTCTGGCATTCATCCAATGTGACTATGAATGCTTTATTTTGTTGTTTATTTAATGTGTTTTAGAATATGGAAAGATGTGGGTGTAAACTGCAGGACCAAAAGGGATGCTTAATGAATTTAATGAAGTTTATATACTTTTAAGGCTTCCACAAGTCGTGGGTCCTTGGAGTCAAAACCTCTCTTGGTTTCTTTCAGGAGCCTAAGCTGTAATATTCATATTCATAGATACTGTGAGTTGTTCAGGACAATCCAATCTTTATATGATAGAGGGCCTTAAATATTTAGCCTTCTTACTTGATCAAGTTTGATTTTTTTAGCTAAAAAGATGTAGATTAAAGGCGTATAGTGAAAAAATTCCTTTTTTTTACCTCTTCTAAACCATGCTTCAGGAAACAAGATGAGGAGCTGGATGAGCTTAGTGCTAGTGTTCGGAGAATTGGTCATGTAGGACTTACCATACATGATGAACTTATTGGGCAGGTACGTTGAGCATCAAGATACCTAATTGTCTCGTGTGATGATCAATTAACTCGGAGAATAATGTTCCCATTCTGAAAGGACGTCCAAAATGAATGCAGTCTATGAGCATGATATTTTTCAATTGCAGAGAATTTGGAGTCTTTATGCCTTCCTTTGTGCAATGAATACAAAGAGTTCAGCACCAACATTGTGCAAACAAAAGAAAATGCCATCTTTTGATTTGTAAATGATTTTTAATGGATTTGTACCAAAGAACTCTGTCATGTCTTGCTTTGGTGTATGTTGTTGGATATATACATATCGTTGTGCGTTAGATACTGTGTATGTTCCTATGATGCTACTATGTTTGTTAGGGTCAGTAGTCCTATGATTTTGAACCCATGCAAATTAATATGTTGTTTGCAAGACTTGTGAAGCTCCAAAGCGAAGAGTTGAATCTCATATTCATTGTGTAAAACTATTGATATCGCAGGAAAAAATCTTGGACGAACTAGGCATGGAGATGGAGACTACTTCAAACAGGCTCGACTTTGTCCAGGTTATTCATGGCTCTTTTCTCCCTTCTCTTTTTAATTTTTAAGTTGCTCTTCCTAAATTTAGTTCTGCATTTTGCCATGCAAATGTAACCCATCAATTAGGTAGACAACGTGGATATTAGCAGCCTGGTGTATCCCGATTAACAGAAACACAGAAGCATTCGATTCAATTTGCATTTCTTTCCGATTCAAGATTTGATTCGACCAAGATTAGCAATCTGTCATATTACTTGTGTTTTTCCCATGAGCTTGTGGTCAGCAAGTCTAGTTGAAGTTTCATCTGGGGTTTCATGCTAAAAGAGAGCACTTGTCTTTGTGCAGAAGAAAGTTGCTTTGGTGATGAAGAAGGCTGGTGCCAAGGGCCAAATCATGATGATAGCATTCTTGGTAGTGCTCTTTATAATTCTTTTTATTTTGGTGTTCTTCACGTAGCAAGATAGAGTAAATTTGTGTGACTAATTACTTTTGAAAGTACATGATGGTTACTTAAAGAAATTTTTTGATGCTTAAAATACTTGTCATATCAAGAAAACCCCAATCTCAAAACACCAAATGATCATGCCTTTTTGCTTTTTTACGGGTGTGTAGCTCATTCATTTTTGCTTAAGTTTACATTCTCAATTACATTTACATGAATCCATCATTAACTGTTGCATTCATGATTTTAAATGTCTTTTTATCAGCATATAACAGTTGGTATTTACCAAGTATCGATATCTCAATCCAATAAATAGTTTAAACTGCTACTGATGTGATATTTAAGTTTGCCTTCATCGGTAGCAACTGCAACAATATTTATGGTGCTTTCATACATGTTGCTCATGAATGCAAACTCAAATGACTTCCATACTCCTAACTGAGCTAAAACCAACATCACTAGCTCATGTAACAGAAAACAACAAATCACATCCTTCAATATGCATACAATGATCACATCTTTTGGTTTACTTTTATCAAACACATACAATTTCCTTCAACCAAATATTGAAGAACAATAGAGAACAAAGAAACAAATCAGAATCCGGAAATCTTCCTAACTCAATTATGATTAACATTTTGTAGAGGCCTCCTTACTGATCCATCTGCATGAGGTTTATGAGAATACTCCTTCCTGACTGCAGGTGTATTCTCCTTACCCATCACTATATCATTATTAAGATTATCGTCATGCTTTGGCCTCTTTGCTGATCCGTCTACCTTACTAGCTTTCCTGGCACTGGAAATCCTGAAATCTACCAACTTCCGACTAATTTCCTCCATCCAGTCATGCCCAGTGGTTCGAGATAATTCTGAATCAACAAAACAAATCAAATAGTCAGATGAAATGAACAATGTTTCTCCTAAAGCTTGTAACCTGTCACTCACCTCGGGGCTCTCTTCCACATTTTGAATTGGAATGATCGGCTGACACTCCCAGTGTCTGCTGAGTTTTTACCCTGCTATTCTGCTGAAGCAAACCATTCATACGGATGGTTTCGACATGACATCGCTGAGGATCATCTAAAGTCTCTCCCTCCACTAAGGTCTCTTTGCGGCCAGAGTTGAATTGCTCTTGCTCTCCTGCATTGTTGATGTTAATATCTTCCTGCTTGTTTGGTGAAGCCAATGTATAACCAGTTGTGCCCGGAACACTTCTCCACTCCATTTTCTTCGATGCAGTGCGTGTATCCACTATGTTGCCGGCAGTTTCAACTGTAAGTTGAGATCTATCATTCGCCCGCAAAGTGTCAGTGGTTTCCATCTGACATATCGTATTGCCATTCTCTGAGACCGATGCTTCTGGATTGCTAACCAATTTACTTGTAAGATCTTCAACCCAAGCTTCTGCTGCTACATTATATTCCGATTCATCAATATATCCATCAGAGCTATTCTGACAGCCCACCGTATCAGAAATTTCCGTATCTTCATCGTTCGGTTGACTAGCAGGATGTTTTTCTGATACGGTCTGAAGACACTCAACTGAACTCCCATCTGCATTCCGACATAGAACACTAAGCTTCAATGAAAACTATAAAGATACCAGAAGGGGCAGAGGCACTAACCTTCATCTTCAACAGCTGCACCGGTCTCTTTGTATAACCTTTCCTCAAAAGATTGCATAGATGCTGAAAACACTATTAAAATGTTACCAAATACTGCAAGAGAGAAATGAAGCATTTTGAAATAGCATATAAGCAAGAAAAGAAAACAGCATAGCATTTTGTACCTGGACACACCATCCCATCCATAGGTTCTAAATCAGAGCAGTCAGTTGACAGTTTTGGTTGAACTGCATTCTCAGACTCGATAGTTTCATCTATATTCATCCTAAAACCATCACTCCAAGCAGTAATTACTGCTTGTTCCTCATGCTCTTTCGCAACATCCATAAGTTTTGAATCAGACCTACCATATGATAATTCTAGCTGGATTGTGTTATCATACTCGATGGTTGCATCAAATTTCACCTTTGGATCACCACAAAGTGTTTCTTGCTCCTCATATTCATTAGTAACATTATAATCTGACATGAATGACACTCTCTCCATCTTTTGTGCTTTTCTTAATGCTCCTGAGATGCCCACTAAATTGTCATGTTCATGTTGGCAATTCTCTTCATGAGATATATGCTCATTGGCCACTGCTTGAACAATGTCATTCCTGGCAAATGATCGTTTCTGTTCCATGTCAAATAGGTCTTCTAAGCACATCAGTGTTGCTCCTGGCGCAACCCATACTTCTTCGGATTTAATCCTCTGATTAACATTGGCATCCTTCTTAAGACTGCCAAGCCTACCTGAAACCATAGATATGACATGATATAATTAGATACAATATTCTTATGAAGTCATAAGCTTAGAAAGAAAAGCATAGCTAAACAAAAGTTATCAAATTTTGTCGACGAAGCAATACATAAGCAATCATCTGAAGTTTCTGATGCAAATATATTATCCTTTCCTTCGTCATGTTTATGGACAGTGTGGCTTAAGTTACTTCCAGAATCGGTTTCACAATTCTCCATGTCAGCTTCTTCAGAACATTCAAGATCTAGTTTCACTTGCAAGGCATCTGAGAATTCGCTTCTTTCATCTTTAGGATCTTTGCTGTCAAGTTGCTGCTGCAAAATCTCGTCATTCTTTGTCTCAAGAACTCCATTGCTATCAGTATCGCATCCTTTTGTGTCATCAAATTCATCATCCTCACAATCAAGTTTCTTGAAGCCAAAATTCATATCATCCTTTGTAGTCTCTTCTGCACATTCCGAATGCTGTGGGGTTAGTGAAACATCTCCTACTTCAGGTCCCACAGTATCTACAGCTTCTTGAGCTATCTCAGGAGCGGATGCTTCTTGGGTTACCACAGATATGGTTGAGTTACAACTATCTAAATTATACTCTGGTTTCGCTAATTTAGTTTCGGCAATAACTAGGGTTCTTGAAGCCAAAATTTCTCTTCTTGTATTGTTGTCACAATTGCTAGCAGAGTCGTTCTCAAAGCAAGGTGTAACACAGCAAGCATCTGCAATACCCAAAACAAAATAATATGGAATCTTAAGGTTTCTTTGCCATAAAGATATACTTCTAAAGGTCGAGTGTGTCCATTTTTCCATACCTGCTTCATGTTGATCTGCCATTCTGGTTATTTCACAAGAGTGCACGTCGTGGCATGAAGCTGCAATCAACAGTAAAGAACTGTCATGAAGTAACAGAGTCAAAAAATGACAATTGTTCAAATGCTATTATCCAAAGGATCCTCCTTCAATCACCTGTGGATTCGAACGAGTCCATGAGCAGAGGAACATTATGCTTTTCATCATTCAAGTTATCTCGTGACGTAATCGAACCAGAACTCATAGCATGCTCATCAATTTCCTTATCATCGAGGGTCACCAAATATTCTTCAACTTCCTCCATTTCCATTTTCTCCTCCGTATCTTTAGCCTCATGTTCTTCATCATCTGCAGAGACTTTGGATATATCCCTCATGTTATTCTTCTCAACATTGTCACTGTGAGGTGCAAGTTCCTCGTTTATGCAAGATGTTGTAGACGATTGATGATGCTCCAAGGAAAGTATCTTTTCTTCGAGTTCAGTTGACTCTGTATCAAACTCAATATCAGAAGATAAGTAACAGGGCTTCTAAGCCATCTAACCTACTTAAATTCACATGAGCAGAAAGGAACGAGGACAAACAAGTCCTTTTGAGTGCCATCTAGAAAGAAAATGCACATGTACACCAGGCAAAATATGTAAGGTGTATCGAGGAGCACTCGCAGGGGCCCAAAACCTAATTAGTAGTCATTGTTTTGTATTGAACAATGGTAGACACTTCAGATAAGCCAACATATGTATGAATTTTCTATTGTTATGCTTTTATGATAAATCTTGCATTATAAAGATATGATCTATAACTACACTAATCAACCAAGGAGCTAGTACACAAAAATATGCCTTTTTCTTCATCTTTCCACAATATTTGCACATCAGAAGGACCAGCCTAAAGGCAGTCCATGAGTAACAAAAGGCTAAGTTTCACAATTCTTAGTGCAAGCTATGCATAGTAGCAAGGTTTCTTGTATCATGACATATCATTCGATATAGATAATACGTACCAATCCGATAAGAGACTAATATGAGTAATACATCGGTATACCCCTATATACCATATATCGAGTAGATAATTGATCAATACATCGATACAAATCAATAAAGCAAATCATACATGATAGTATCTGTAAATTGATGCATTAACAATTTATGGAGGATGCAAAGAATAAATTCGTATACAAATGGTTATTCATATATACTAACCGTATTTAACTGATGATGAAGTTCTTCCGAATGGTACGGTAATCTCCCATCTTCCTACGGAACCTGCCCAATATTATATGAACATGAACAGAGTACTTAACCTTGCTCTTAAAATCAAAGACTTCAACACACCTTGACCATCTGGAGTTCCCCAAGTTGTTTCGCCAATATCTGAAGAAGCTTGAAATTTACCACAAAGGTCAAGTGGCTCACCTATGTTATCAATAGGTTCTCCGTCAAATTTATTTGTGAGTGCCACACTCTCCATACACAAGGATTTGGCATGTTCATATCCACTGCAGGAGAAACCACATGATGCATCCAAGCCACCATTCTTAACTCCATCATGTTGGACGTCATCATCTTTACCTTCCGCTAATACTGGTGTTTGCAATTCCAGAATTGGTCTCTCGATTACAGCTGAATTTTCACTTTCGCTTGGCATAATTATATCACTATCATTCATAACATTACTCTCCCTTAGGATGGACAGAGGTGACAGCCTTCTATTAGAAACATCATCATCATCGGCAGGTTCGATCGAATTAGCTTTTGTAAGTGCTTGGAATTCATCTTCATCAGTACATGAATTCCTCCCACCTGAAAGAACCAAGCATTGTCTTTCTTTAAGCTTATCTACAACCTTAAATTCTTGGGGCACAGAATATGGACTTTTCATATTTGCAGAATCTGCCCATGTTTCTGCTTCACTTTCAGAAACTTCAAGATTACTCAACTGGCGGGCACTAGCTTCCCCTATAAGCAGAAACAAATGTTTGGAGTTGACATAACAAATGAGTGATCATCCTGAATATAATAAATGGTAATGACTATTAAATACATAGGGAATCATAAAGTATACCCTCAGAACGATTTCCTGATGCAGGAGGACTACCATTTGCAATGTGGTCTTCCTTATTGCCGGCTAAAACATTTATGTGAAACTCTATGTGTGTATTCCGCATTTTCCTGGAGGATGGACTGAAGGACTTCCCCTTGTTGGATTTCTTATACATGCTTAATGAATCCATGCTGCAAGTACCTATGACATGGACAAAAGCTTAGAATTATCCAAAAGAATAAAGTGCAACAATATAAGAGAAAAACAACTTACTGGGTGGATGCCCTTTTACCTAGACATCACAGATACAGCATAATGAGACAGTTTCAGAAATCTGTACCTTCACTTTTAATTGGATTGACAGGAGAGTGATCATTACTTTCATCACTAGATGCTCTAGCATCATGTGTGTCTTCTAGTTTAGCTGATTCGGATTCTTCTTTAAATTGCAAAGTTCCTCCAGTGGCATATGTTGTGCCAACTATCTCTGTTCTGTCATTGTTTTCATTGCCATCTGAACATCGAGGGGCCTTAGCAGCTGATCCATTCTTCCCAGATCGGATGCTAGAAGCAGAAAATTCCACTTGAAATTTATCCTCTTGAACTTCTAGCTGATTTTCAAATTCAGATCCAACTAGCAACAATGTGGTGGATTTGTCATAGGCACATGATTTCCCCTGTGAAGAAACTTCCACACCTTCCATTTGTACAGAAGCATCTGCAATTGTGTCACCTGGTATTTCTGATAAAGATGGTGAGATTGCACAAACCAAATTGGCATCATCTGAACAACAAATTTCAGAATTATCATCATGAGATGTGATAACTTTCTCATAATTTTGACATAGATTATCACCTGAAGATAATCTGCTAACATCAGTCACTTCCAAAAGAGTTTCCACGATATCACTGCTCAGCTCCATAAGTTTATGTGGTGACAATTCTCTATGCCCAGCTAATTGTTCTAAAGAATCATATTTTGTTGCACTTTTACCAGAGCTACAATCAGTAGCACTGAAGGAACTATTTTGATTTCCCTCATCTAAAACCACAATTTCAGCACCCTGTGCTATCTCAGATGGACTTGTATTACCATCAAAAGATTCCTCCTCACATTTATCTCCAATAGACTTGGTACCAATTGTTGATGTATTAGTTAACAAATGAGAAGATGAAGACTCATATTTACCTTCTTCTTCAGCAGTTTCACACATTTTTGGAATATTAGAATATGTATTGGTTCCCTTGAGTTCTATCAATCCATTGAATTCTTGACATGCAGATTCGGTGTCTAACAGTGCCACAGAAGTTGCTCCAATACTCCCTGATTCATTTTTGACGATGTTCAGCTGGTTTAATAAGCCCACAAAATCATTATCGGGTACAACAATTAAAGGCAGGACCACTTCATCTGCAAATCACGGACTTCCGTAAGTAGATATTCAAAGTGACATATTAGCATGAAATATGAAATAAGGGAAAAAGACAACGAACCAGAGAACCACCAGATATTGCATTGTTAAGTCTAAACTTACCCTTAAGTCCACTAGGACAGACAGGACTATGAGAAGCAACAGCATGAACATCGTATAACATTAAGGCTGTTCTGGGATCACTGACAGTAGAAGCTTCAGTAACAACTGCAGGAGAAGGTTCTTCAAGATGGCTGCAAGGAAGTGGTGAATCAACAACGTTTGTTCCTTTGGGCTGTCCATCTCTTTCTTCTGTGTAATTTGCACTATCCATAGTGCTGTTCGTAGAAGGCATATCTGCAAATCCCCCGCACTCAGTACCAGGAACTTCAGAATCTGCCTTCACAGAAGGGTCAACATATGAAAAACCATCTTGTAATCTGCGAGAAACTTCAACCGGATTGTAAGAAGAAATTTCTCTATTCTCTTTCACCATTAGTGTAAGATTGTCAAAGCCTTGCAGAGTCTTTACCCGTGATAAATTTCCAGACTTAATTAATTGGTCAGCATGACATTTATCATTGGTTAGATCATCAATTAATGGAGAATGTTGAACCTTATTACCACTTTTCACCTTTGGATGATTGCTGCCTGCTGTTTCTGAAACCACATGTTTAGCAGCAACTGACGATTCAGAAGTAGAGACAGGTGCAGTCTCTTGGGAACCATCAGTATCATCAGTAGTTCTATGAGTGTCAATTAAACCAAATGCTACAGGCTCAACCTCCATGGAAGGGCAATTTTTGTCTTCCTTAATTTGGTGCTCGCTACACTCTTTATGTGTCTCATTTTTATGCCTTTTACTACTTGCTATTTTCTTTACGGCAGTGTGATATGCATCAAAGTTAGCCATCTCATCAGTCAAAATCACAGCTAATTCAGCGGAACAGTTTCCTCGTATGGCATCATCACTCTCAAGAACTTTCTCACAGCAATCTTCACAAAGCCTTTCTTTATGCTCGTTGGAACCAGCATTCTGCTGCACGCGGACAGGATCTAATCTGCCAGCAATTTCTACTTCCTCAATTGAAATTTCTTTATCTGAAACCACTGCTCTTTTCCTCTTCTTCTGCCTTGTGTTTTTTACAGCCTCATCTGTTGGCATCACCAATTCTCTTCTGGAGGCATTGTAACTTGATTCTCTTCCTGGTTCTTCAACATGTCTGTGGCCTTCTAGCATTTCATTTTCACCTCCGACTGTACAGTCAGTGGTAGAATCCTCGGTTGGTGCTTCTGCTAAGACCTGACCTTTCTTCAACCTCTGTGACCTTCTGGCTTTCTCAACTACATCAACTAATGTATTCCCAGTTATTTGAAGTCCCGGAGCATTATGCTTTGGAAGCTTAGTTTCCTTGTTGTGTTCATCAGTTATTGAACTCTCGACTAAAGGAGCTGAAGTCTTGAATTCAGTCGAAGCAAGCTTTGGAACATTTCGCATTGAACGCCTCAAAGTATCTTTAGTCTGTGCCACCCTTTTTGGATCTACTTGAACAATAAGTTCTTGAAGTGCAGCTCTAGTTTCACAGCTAGGAACAGTAATTTCTGTAGTTCCTTTACTCGTCTTCATGTTCCTCTCATGCCTCCTGGTCTTGCTCTTTCTGACTAGTTCAACATCATGAGCTAATGAAGTTTCATGCTCCAACACAGTAAGCACAGATGAACTCCGTGTGCACAGCCTACGAGGTTCTACTTCGGAGAGCTTTTCTTTTCTGGCATGATCCTCTGCAGTTTCAGTTAAGATTGCATCAGGAAGAGGGGCTGTAAGATCTGGATTTCTGATAGCCTTTCTTTCCTTCTTTTGTAGCACCTTATTCGGATGTTCATCTCTTGATTCCAAACTTCCAGGCAAGGAGGCCCCAATACCTTCATCTTTGATCCTTGAAGTGTGACGCCTTGGCCGATTCAAAGCACCACGTAATTTTGCTGCCTCTTTAGTCTCCTCCCCTGCTGGTTTTTCATATTTCTGAACATTAGGAATTGAAACTACTGAAGTACGTCCTGATTCCTCACTTTCCTGGAATAAGTTATGAGACTTTGCAAGATTACGTTTTGATCGCCTCGGTGGAGGCACTTCAATATGTGGAACCATAATTTCATGTTGATCAAGTCCAACGGTGGAATTGATACGAGCTTTACTGCCAAAATTTTCATCTTTCTCCAACACTTGTGCTTCCGAAGATACATCAAAGACAGGAGCAACAACATCCTCTTCTTTCCTTTTAGCATTTCCCCTTGTTTGCATCCTTCTGGGTTTCGTGTCTCCCTGCATTGCTTCATACCCTCCAATAGTCACCACTCTGTTCCTCAGAGATCTAGTAGTTGGTGCGCAGTGATCGTCTTCCTTATCTACCTTCTTTCTATTGTTCTCCTCTTGGTGAGGAACCTTTGCAGCCAAATCAGGCCCATTGTTTCTGTTCTGTGCCTCTTCCTCGATGACATGGGAACGTACTACTGCAGCTGCAGTGGATCGAGGTCTCGTGCTTCTAGTCTTCATTTCCGTAATAGTCACCACTCTGCTCGGAGATCTAGTAGTTGGTGCACAATCCACCTCCCTTCTGTTGTTTTCCTCTTCGTGAGGAACCTTTGCAACCAAATCAGGCCCATTGTTTCTGTTCCGTGATCTCTTCTCCTCGATGACAGGAGACCATACTACTGCAGCTGCAGTGGATCGGAGCCTCTTGCTTCTAGTCTTCACTTGAAAAGCACCATTTGCTTCCAAAACTGGCTCACTGACTGCTTTTGATGCGTACACAACAAAAGACCTCCTCCTACTCGGCCGCCTCCTCTCCGGAGAAGTTCGCGCTTCCAGGTCTCTCTGGCTGCCATCTCGTTCACCATCGTCTTCTTGCATATAGAAGCTTACCTTCTTATTGACCCCTCCTCTTCCGGCGCCCTCAACACTGCTTCCATTGGAGCCCTTCAAGCAGCCTTTCGGCTTCATCTCCTCGCTATTCCGCTTCTTTTTGTCACAATCAGACAAAAAAATTGGTTTTGAAACGTCGCAGTAACTACTCATAACAATTCCAACAGCAAGAGCAGAGCGAGAAAGAGAAACACGGTACGGTACCTGTAGAAGGGAAGCGAGGTTTTCGGCCATCCGGGAGTTGGTGAGATTGGCCGGGAGGCCGTGCTGCTTGCTGAGGGCTTGGAGCTCCCTCCTCGTCATGCTCTTGTACTCCATCTCCATTGAGAAACGTGGGGGAAAAACCGAACCAACCGCCGGCGCGGCGAGACTGCTAAGGATCCGTCGTCATTGGAAGAAGAAAATTTCTTGGATTCAGCTATTTCCACGGTAAGATCGTCGGAATCCTCGAGTCTTCCTCACTGAAAAGGGACGGGGAGGAAATCCAAAGCGGAGCGATCTGGTTAGCGCCTCGACTGTAGCGTTTGAAATCATTTGAATTTGGATGCGTTAAGAGATCACGCGCTTTGCCCGCCTCCGTAAACTTCTGTTGCCAATCCGTCAATTGGACGTTAGGATACCGCCCTTGTGATTGAACAAACACCATGGAGCCCACAGGGACCCAGTCGTCCATCTAAGGTAGACAAAGAGGAGTAGAGGGTCCCTCGTCAGTCTCCGAATGGGTAGCCACGTGGGTGCTGTGGGACTCCTGTGGCTGTCGATTGCCCGTTCGATTCTTCACTGAAGAATCCGACGGTCAAGATGACAGAGTACTCCGCGTAGCATGCCCACTTTACCATGTGCCTCGACGCATCATTACCGTCACCCGTATCATCATGCCACCACGAAAGTTGCTCTACACGTGGAGAGTGATAAGGTACGGCTCCGAGAAATGGACGGTCCTGATCTAATTTCGTTGATTTCAACTGAAATCTTTAATAATAGCTCTGACAACATGTTTAATTAGCAAGAGATTAGATGATAATTTCAATCGAATAGATATATACCAAA